GTAAGATAAAGTTAAATGACAAATAATACTTAGTATAATAAATATATATAATTATTGAATATACCCTCTTTTTATTATATATATATATATATATATAATAACAATGAAATGATTATAGGTTTAAGTTTTGGATTTATTTATTGAGTTTAGACGTCTAATATATGAAAGGTTTAAGTTTTGGATTTACATTTCAAATTTCAGCGTCTAAACAATGTATGTTTATGAGATAAACAATATTACTTTTTGAATTAAGACATCTCAATATTAGTTCTAATCAGTGTTTTAAAAGGAGGTGTGAGGCGATTCGTTTTATACAGTACTACGAGACGAGGCGTAAGTCCCATGATCTACGGGGACGTGGTATCCTGTATACTCAATTTTATAGCTTTATTACTAATAAATAAAAGTAAACCTTTCAATGATTTTACAAATAAATTTTTATAAATAACCTATATTATAATATGATTTTTATTTGAGATAAGTATTAATAATCAATAATGAAGAAAAAAAGTATTATAATTACTATTTTGAGAAATATCATGACACCAATAATAAAAAATATGATTTATATAAAAAAGGTTCAAGAAAAATAAAAATTAAAAACATTCGGCGCTACATTTTTACGCCTAGGATTTATGTTTTATGCCCACTACTCACGTTTTTATGCTCGAAATTTATGCCTCAAATTTTAACACATATGCCTCATGAATCTACATCTTTAATTCACTCCCCGAAATAATTTTAATAAGCCCCACTCGAAGACTCACTCCAAAAACGATTTTGAAAATACTGATCCTAGCTGAATTTTTACATATAATTTAATAATTTGTAAAATATGTTAGAGAACATTATCATTAATCTTTATTTCTAAATGTGAGTCGTATTACTGAATCCATCCAAACCTTCAGCCTCACTCTTAAAACCTAGACTAGATTTTCATCAACTCCTAATAGTCATCACTTCCTTAATATCCTATTGCAATGACATTTTTTTTTTTGAAAAAAAAAAGTGATCGACTACGAAGGATTTTGAATAAGGGACTTGTCAAGCATTATTTATTCAAATATTAAGATTAAAAGTCGCAAAAAATAATAATTTTTTAACAATATTGATTGAAACATAAATAACAAAATATGTTTTTTTGACTATCAAAGAAGCGTCATCTACTACGAATGATTTTGAATAACGGACTTGTCAAGACATCATTTATTCAATTATTTGAGCGACATTCGTTATTTCATTGAACTCTAAGAGATGTGTTTTTAAATTTTATTTAACTTATCAAGTACAAAACTAATTATATAAGACGTAGTAGAGAGCTGAATAGAAAAAAACTCTCGCAATTGATGAAAAAAATGTTTGTACCACTTTTTGAAAATATAAATATAGAGAATGAAACAATTACATATTTTTTCTGAAGACTTAAGTGAAGAATAACTACAGTAAAATGAAGAATTAATAACAAAATACATAAGTACTTAGAATCAATTTTTTCTGGTTTTAAGATTAAAAAATATTTCAATTTCACATTTGGATAAAATGTTTTTGACAATTTATAATAGGGTTGTACCCACTCAAAAACACTTGCATCAAATGTTGAGAAGTAGATTATTGACGTAGTACAATACTGCGCCAAGCTCGGCCAATTTACCTAATACTCATATAATTTGTTCCACCTTTTATATCGCATAAATTATACATAGATTCTCTTATAAGTTAGATAAGTAATAGTTATTTAGGATTACAAAAAAAACATAATCAAACGCTGTAAAAAAATAATAAATGAATAACTTTTTACACAACATTTGAAAACCTACCAACCAAACATTATATCAGAATCAATACATGAATAACTTTTTTTTTCCTATTTCCAAACCAAACATGCTACATGAATAACCATGTTATTCAAGTATTAACTTTGGACTTATCAAGCTACCAAATTGTTTTCAAAAACATATATTATGAGGAAAAGTATTTCAAAAACATGCATCAATCATGTTTTAATGGTTGTAATGTACTTTGTGAGCATTGCAATAACATCAGGAGATACTTGGGAGGCTGCTTTCTTCAGATGTTGAATCTTTTCCTCTGTTTCTATCTCAAGCCTCTTTTCAGTTGAGTCTGAATTTTCACTGGTCTGTGTATGAATTCAATGAACAAATAAAATATTTAATTGATTAAACGTCAACATGAATATTCTAAGAGTTTAAAAACTAATTTGTAAGGAGAAACACTAAATTTGTTTGTCTGTTTTATCTTAATAAAAAATTTAAGAAAATAAAAAAAAGAAATTAAAACCTCAGATAGTTTTTGCTTGTATTCAGCTTCGAGATGGGAGCGATAATTTGTCACTTCCATCTCAGCCTCTTCTTTTGCTTGCCTCAATCTTGTCGTTTTAACTGAAAAATATCAAAACACGTAAAAATCCTTACAATGAAAAAACAACTCAATTTAAAAAAAATTACCATTTCTTGCAGCATAAACAATTTGTTGGGCTTCTTGTTCAGCAGTTAGTAGCATTTGAATGCCTCCTTGCCCTCTCATTGAATCCATCGCAACTTCTGAACCTCAATATGAAAGCAGTGGTGGAGTCAGAATTTTATTCACTATAAATATATATATACATATAAATTAATTTTAACTAGGTACAAAATCGTGTAATTTTGTCAATCCAAAGGGTTCACATTAAACTCTTACGTCTTTTTTGTGGAAAAAAAAAATCTTGAACACAAATAGGTAGATAAAAAATTGAACCTAAAAACGACGATCAAAAAGAATAAACTCCGGCATAATCCACATCTAATCAGACTATTTGGTTGGAAGGGCAACAAAAGCGCATATATATATATATATATATGATAGATTGATTGCTACGGAAAAGATAGAATATACACCAATCTTATCCTACTGTTATTTATGTTATATATTTCAATAAAGAAGTTTATTTATCGAACAAATAAAATATGTACCTGAAAATGATTGTATTAAATCTTGAACCTGTAGATAGTTTCTTTTATGAACAAAGGAAGTTTGGATTTGGATATTAAAGGGAATAAGGACTGTTTGAATGAAAAAGCATGGATCTGATTTTAATAGAATAAATTATAGGGTTCCTATTTATCGTCCTTTGTCCTGGTAAATAGGATTCTTGTTGCAACATATGAAACAACTCGGTCAACAAACAAAATGTAATAAGGCCTATTCGTTGTGAAATTTTTTTTTTAAAAAAGTAGTTTTTGTTTTCAAAATTAGAAAATGGCATTACAAAATAGGAGTTGTAATTGATCGTGAAATAAAATTGGATCATTTTTGAATTTGTATGAGTAAATTTAGAGTAGAATATTATTTTTTTCATATACTATGGTCAAGCCAACCAATGTTTTTAAAGACGTTTTTGGAGCGAGTTCCAGGGTGAGTTTCGGAGCGGGGCGAACTAAAAATGCTCAAGGGCATAAATTGAAAATGTAGATTCATAAGGCATAAGTCCTAAAATTTGAGGGGTAAGCCCTAAACATAAAAACGTAGGTTCTGGGCGTAAAAATGTACGCCAGGACGTTTTAAACATATATTTTTGATTTTTTTAGCTTTAAACATATTTTTATTATTGGTGTAATGATATTTCTCAAATAATAATGATAATCTTTTTTTCTTCATTATTGAATATTAACAATTTATCTCACATAAAAATCATAATTTATTGAAAAGTTTATTTTTACTTAATTTATTAGTAATAAAACTATAAAATTAAATTATATATGCAATTACGCTCCATACATCCATGAGACTTACGCTCTCTATCTCGAGTTTACGCCTCGCCCCATACGATATAAAACGCCTTGCCTCACACTTTCACCTTTTAAAACACTGTGGCCAACTATAGTTTCCAGAGTTAAACTCGAAAGAAAAAGTGAAAAAATTTAATGGCCAAATGTGTTGGGTATTTTTCTTAAAATTGAGATATTTGATCAAATTATTTTATATCTTTCAAACTGAATAATAAATATTTTGATTCTATTATTTTTATCCTACCAATCAAATAATTCGGACCCTGAGGATGAAGTTTAAGCGGGTCTGAATCGGGTTAATTTTTACCGAGTAAACTTCATCTTCAACCTCACTCTTAAACCCTAGATTTTCATCACTCCAAAAACCTTCTTCCTCGTCAGCTCAAAGCTCAGCCAAGCAATGGCAAATCGGCGATGCCTTCAAACCCTAACCCGTCATTTATCATACCTTCTCTCTCCAAACCCGTCTCTTTGTTCCCCTCAAACCCTAACCCCACCACTGCTCAATTCCATCAACACACTAACTTCGTCTCCCAAATGCCCCCAAGTTACCACTCAACTTTCATCTTTCCACCGGCATTTCTCTTCGAATCGACCGAGCAATAGCGACGAGGAGGAAGAGGATGAAAGTGAAGATGAAACAGATTATGATGATGACGATGATGATGACGTTGAGGGCTTCAAATCGAATAGTGAGCCCGGTAGAGTATACACTCCGGAGGAGAAAGAGTACGAGGCGGCAGAAATTGGATATAAGGTGATCGGCCCACTTCAGAAATCGGACCGGGTTTTCAAACCATATGAACCCGTTTATGCTGTTATTCAGGTTCTCATTTCCTATCATTTTGCTGTTTCATATATAGCTCAATCCTAAATTAGTTGGGTTTGGGATAAACGAATCATCAATATCCATTAAGCTGTTTTCTTACTGATAGGCATTGCTAAATGACACGGATCTCACATGAGCCAGCCTGAAAGGCATGGCGAAGTCCAGTCCAGTAGTTTAGGGGAGGAAAATTTATTGAAATAGACAATGGAGATGATATACATGTTGGGATAAAATGAAGTAGCTTTACTTTGTTGTTGAAGTTTTTGTAGCTGTATGAGGATTGAAGAGGTTTCTGTGTGATGTAGATTGGTTCCCACCAGTTTAAAGTGAGCAATGGCGATTCCATTTTTGTGGAGAAACTGAAGTTCTGTGAAGTCAATGACAAGGTGAGTTTGGTTTTCACTTTCTGAATGTTGTGTAGAAAGTTGATGCCTTTTCGGTATAAACATTTTTAACTGAGGCAGATCTTGGATTTTAAGTTAGTGGATGCATAGTACAACTATAGCTGTAGTTCAAATGGAAGATCCCTCTTCTTCATACTGTATCAATACTTACCTGCTAATTCCTTGCAAAAATTAGAAGGTTGAGGGTTGATGCTGTCAAAGGTCTCTGAATTTTTATCCTGTTCAATTAAGCTCTCTTATTTGTTAAAGTAAGGGAGGGTGATGCTAATTATAAGCATTAATTTGTAGCTTTTTTGGCCTCATCCTGGTGTTATGTTAAATGATTCAGAACTGGTGAAGCATAAAATACTTCTTTTCTTACCAAACCTTCGGTAAAAGTCTGATAAACAGTATGACCTCTTATCACAGTGTGTTCTTTTCAGAAGTTTTATACTTACTATAATCCCCATGATTTATGTATAATTTTTTTTTTATTAAAGAAACCTTTTTTTATAGAAGCAATGCAACTTTCTTACTTGTCCAAAAAAAGAAAAGAAGAAGAAGCTATGCAGCTTTTCTTTAGTTAGTTTTAAAAAAACCTGCAACTTAGAAGAAAAATCTTGAAAACCATGCAAATAGTCCCTGTTGTTGACTTATTCTTTAAATCTTCACCTTTCTTTTAAAGGTGAAATATAAATGCACGTTACAGTTTCCCATATAGCTCTATTATACCGATTACAAAGTCTGGTAACCTTTTCCGTGATTCTGTAGACTTGTTCATGTCCTGTTATGTGCCATGCCAGAAGTTCAGTATACCATATCAGTTAATCAGATTCTTTAGAAGAAGTGTCTACAAGATGTGATGTGTAGGTTTAATGACATTGGGAGGGTTCATGAGACTTTGTTCCGATGGAGAAGATTTAAGAAGATATGTATTATCTAAAAAGGGTAATGTACATTTTTGTTCTACAGTAAAAAGAAAAGAAAAAGGAGACTTGCATTCTGTTGTTGAAAATGAACATCTTTTGAGATGTGCTTGCTTAGAAGTCTTGGTTTCCCTTTGAAACTACTAATTGTTTTTTTAAATCATAAGAATTTGTGGTTGCCCTTTGAAACTGACTCTTTTGATATGGTTCCATACTAAAACCCTTTTTTTTAGCTTTCCTGTTCTGTTAGATATAACTACTTACATATTCATTCTTTACAAGCAATCTTATGTCTCAGTTTTAACAAGAATAAGTGAGAAACCTTATCACCAATAAGTATAGTATGGTTCGTGTTTTCGTGAGAGAATATTAGTTCTAGTACAATCTGAAGCAAAGGTCTAATGTTCAGAAATGATGCAAGACCAAATGGGGTATCAATGTTGACCCATATTGTGTTTTCTGCCATAGTCACTGGGAAACCAAGAGGTCATTTGTTTGGTGAATATGCTGAACTGCTGAAACTAGAGAGTTCTGGAACATATCTGGCTTCACAGTTGAAGCTATTTAGCACACACATGGGATCATCACTTATAGGTGAACTATTTAGAATGGAAAAGGATACTCACAAGCAGCTGATATTTTTAAATTGATGTATGCTAAAACTGTTTATTCTATCTGGATAGTGAGAAAATCAGGTAGTAGTATTTTAGAAGAAAGCAAGAGCCTTGGGAAAGCATTGCTAGGGAGATAGCCTGCACACTCAACATCAGGGGAACTGTTAAAATTGGAGTGCACTGCAGTATTTCCTTTTATAGTTTATTTATCTAGGTGTTGAGTGGGTATGTCTAGTGTTTACTGTGTCTGCTTAAGGGACTACAAGATACCCTCCCTAGGAGGTTAGTTCCAAAGCCTTGAGTAAAGACATACTTTGTATTTGTTTGTTAGGCTGTTCTGGACAACTTAATGAGTTAAGATGTAGCTGTGGTTTTGCAAATATTTACTTTGGTAAGTAATAAAGAAGTTAAATTACCAAAAGGTTATAAGCTACATAATGTAGGATCTATGACCTGTGCTTGACCCTGATGAAGCTTGCTCTCTAGTTTTCCTCATCTACCTCTTTAGTTTGTGCCTTCTGTGCCTGACTGCCTTCTACTCGTGAGAAAATGCTTGTACATTGGAATCTCTGTTGTGTGAAATCTTTATCATAACAAGAACTCTGTTGACTGAATACATAATTTATCCTGCCATTGTTTTATTTTCAGTTGATTCTAAACAAGGTTCTGCTGCTGGGCTCAAAGACACAGACAATCATTGGCAGGCCTGTATTGCCTGATGCAGCTGTTCATGCTGTTGTTGAGGAGCATGTAAGATAGTTGTGTCATGACCCTTACCTTTTTTTGCAGCCACTTTGCATATTGATTTGTGGATTTTTTTATCCTCTCTGACTAGTATACTGTCATTCTCATCTGCCTAAGCTTTGGTTGTCAGAGTTACCCAGTACTTTGAGAATAGGAGGTAGCAGGTACCCAATAAACTAGTTGAAGTGTGCGTAAACTGGTGAGGTCACCACTTGTCATTGAAAAAAGATGTACTCTCATTCTCGTAAAGTTTGGTTGGATATAGAAATTCCTCAAAGCACTCTTTGATGCAGATTTTCAGGCTCTGAGCTCAGCTGTTTAACTTAGTTTCGTTAAGATAAAATAAGTATATGCACAGCTTTATCTCAATTAAGATATAGATTAAGAAATTTAATCTGTCCCTGTCTTGGTCCAGGCATTAGATGCTAAAGTACTGATATTCAAGAAGAAGAGACGAAAGAATTATCGACGAACACGAGGGCATCGACAGGTTAGTCATCTATTTATCGTTTAGAAGGTCAAAAGAAATAAGTTTATTACTTTAACTTGTCATCCTCTTTTCTTTCTTATCTATTAGGAATTAACAAAGTTGAGGATTACGGATATTCAAGGAGTTGAAAAGCCTGAAGTGGTACCAATTCTCAAGACAGAGAAGAAAGATGCTAAGAAGGTAGCAGTAGCAGCTTAAAAATGGTGAGATGGTTAAAGAAATCTGCTTGAGTAGGGGATTTTTGTCATATACAGCAGACACAGTCGGCATTTTCCATTCTCTTTTTCTCTTATAAATTTTGTGTTAGAACTCAGATGCCACATGAGGTCAGATGGAAGGGAATGAATTTGTTGTAGGCTTTAACATAGTCAAATCTTGA